TCTCTCTTTCTCTTTCTCTGTGTGCGTGTGTGTCCCTCTCTCTTTCTGTGTGTGTGTGTGTCCCTCTCTCTCTCTCCGTGTTTCTCTCTTTCTCTATGTCTCTGTCTCTCTCTGTGTCTATCTCCCTCTTTCTCTCTCTCTCTCCTTCTCTCTCTCTCTCTCTCTCTCTCTCTCTCTCTCTCTCTCTCTCTCTCTTTCTCTCCCTTCCTCCCCTCTCTCTTTCTCTATCTATACGCAATTGTTGCTGACGTCATAATAATGCCAAGAGTGACGAGCTTCCTGTTCCGCCGTCCAAGATGTCGGCTGCGCTCCATGTCCTCAGTACCTTCGAGGAGATTTGAAACTGATTTCACTTGTCTTTAGGCGCACAATCGAAACAAAAAATTGAATGTTAAACTACTAGAGACTTTAAAGACGCTAAATTCTAGGCTGCTATCATGTCAGAGACCGCACAGACTCTTTCGTCCCCTGACAACTTGCTTCAGTCGGATCTACTTCTTCGTGTCCTGGGTGGAGACGCTATGCAAATTCTTCGTTGTGGCATCTGCATGGAATTTTTCGACATCCCTATTGTTTTGCCTTGTGGACATACGTTTTGCCTTCAGTAAGTCGTATAAAAAGTGTTCTGGTAAAAGTTGCCTTAACGGGCGTCTGTGGAATAAAGGTTAGGGGCTTCACCGTCACATGCAAAGACTTGAGTTCGACTCTCCTGTGGGGATGATTTTAATCGAATATCTCGGTGAGGAGTCCCACAGAGGGCCGGCACTTACGGCGGCACGGTGACAACGTCAACTGAGCAAGCTATACAAGACTTGGTGCACTTAGACAATCCAATTGATGACTTACATTTTGGTAAATTTGACGACTAGACAAACTAACTGTTTAGAAAAAGCACGTTTGACAGCTCCAGTCGAGGACAAATTCGAGTCGAGTGGAATCCGCCATTAACTTCTTCTGTCGACTATTGAGAATATCGGACTTCAGTTTAAGAAGGAGGAAGGGGGGGGGCAAAAACAATAAAATGCCAACAAAAGGGGGGTGCGGTTGTTTGGAGGCCATAACTACGAGTTCCGAATTCTGTTTTTTCCTTCATTGTTCATATTTACCTATCTTATTTTTTCCCATCACTGAAAGGCTGCGTTATTAATATTGTGCAGATATGCTTCTTTTTTTCTAAGTCAAATCATACTAATGCATGCAGTACTGAACATATAGCCTAGCTAGATAATTTCCAAAGGTTATTGAGCTCCTGTTTTAGTTTTGGTATTTTTGTGTAGTTGTGAGAAGATAACTTTTTCAGGTATATATATATATATATGTATTCATACATTTAGTAATTACTTTTTGAGAGCTAGGCCAAAGAATCAACTTCACTCTGCTTAAACAGTCTCATACCTTTCTTGTAACAGCCCTTTTAGTGTCATATACGATACTCGGACAAAATAATTGATCACAAGTCAGAGTGATACTGTCAATCTTTTTTACACTGACAGAAAACTTATAACAATATCACAATAATCTTTTAGTACGTTGTAACCATAGTATCTAGAAACAGTCATGCAAAGGGGGATGCCCTGTGACATGTACTTTCAGAAAAATCTCTGCATAGGTGACCCACCTCCCTACGAAAATCATAGTTTTGAGAAAACTGAAATAAAAACAGAATTCATACTGGTTTATTTCAACACAATGTTAAAAAACATAGCATATGAGAGCACTTTATAGGTGTTTTAGACACTTGGAAATATCTCCAATCGATAAAGCAGATGTTGCTCTGCTAAAAAGGTCCAAAATATTTTTAAAAAATGGTTTTGGATACCAAAATCGACTTTTTCTGGCTATTGGTTTCTGCCGTGGTGAGCCTTAAAAAGGATTACATTGATTATACGGATGATATGGATGACAACGTTCATGAGGATGGTAATGACGAATGAGAATTACCCTCTCCCCCAAACCCCCACCCCAAATCCTCCCCCCACCTCTACCACCTTAGCTGCCTCACAGAAATGTGCCGTCACGCAAGCCGCAACTGTGTCCTGAGTCCGCTCAAAGACCTCCGGATCGGCTGCCCCAACTGCAGGGTTCTCATCTACGCCTCTCCCATCCTGGAGCGGAACGTGACGTGTAACTTCATCATCCAGTCCTTGCTCGAGTGTCTTCGTGTCAGGAAATACGGCACACCGGTGAGTGTTGGCCACAGAGAAAGAACTGTAGGAGGCCCACTGTACTGACAGTCTCTCTCTCTCTCTCTCTCTCTCTCTCTCTCTCTCTCTCTCTCTCTCTCTATCTATCAATCTATCTCTCTCTCTCTCTCTCTCTTTCTCTCTCTCTCTCTCTCTCTCTCTCTCTCTCTCTCGCTCTCTCTCTCCCTCTCTCTCTGTTTGTTTGTTTGCTTGTTTGTTTGTTTATTTGTTCGTTTTAAATATGTTTCCCTTGCCCATTCCTAAGAGATTGACGACATCTAACCAGTATAACTTTCTGCATGGGATATCTTAGCTATAATAGTCAAGACACGGTTGTGATAAGGTTTGTGTTGTTATTAGTAGACGGTTGTGATGTTGTGAAGCAAATGATGTTGCTGATGATGATGAGGTTGATAGTGTTACGGCATAAATGTACAAAAGAACATTAGAGGGTTTTTTTAAAACAAAATGTAATGTTAGTACTATCTTACTCTGCTCTGTTGAGTCACGATGTGCATATCTTTGGTTACAATCAGACAATAAATCTGTGTTTTCTTTTTTTATTTTATTTAGCTATGCCACTCCAGTAATTGCAGTAAGCTTAAAGTAGTAGTGCCAACTGGTTCTCTTGTGAATCAAGCCGCAGCACATGCTCTTGTATTGCGAGCGCAGTAAAACTCTCACCAAAGCAACAACAAAAAACACACCCAAAAAAAAAAAAAAACAAAAAAAAAAAAACAACTAACTGCTTCGATATCTCAATACGTCTAGAACAAAAAGAAATCGTATTGGATGCCAGCCATGCTGTTCACTTATTTGTTTAAATTGACTTTGTAGCATCTTGCTGCAAGCTATAATAAATATATGTCACTCAAAGGCAAAATCTACAGTGTACAATTGGTCTGTGGTATGTCTAGACAGAAGGATAGACCTCAGGCAGAAAAGTTTCCTAAGATATAGAAAACAGAAACATGTTGCTGATTTTATTAATACAAGAGGTAAGAATCTTCAGTCTAACTTGTCGTGAAATAGTAGATGCTGATCCTTTGACTGGAATATAAAAAGTGCTTGTGTGTTTATGCATAGATTTGATAGATGGAAAGGCGGCGAATGGGTGGATGGGCGAGTGGGTGAGTGGGTGAGGGGGTGGAAGGGTACATAATTTGGTATGTAGGTAGGAAGGTAAGTTGGTAGGTCGGTAGGTTGGTAGGTAGGTAGGTAAGAAGATAGGTAGGTAGGTGGAATTCTTATTTATTTTGTTACTGGTTCAACCAAAATTCGATATATTATTATGTGCACAGAAATACGCATTCTGCTCTGCCAACGCTCAGGTAACCCAAGGCGTGAACACAGAGGAGGTACGGCTATCTGGGAAAAAGCGCGCCCTTACAGACCTGGAACTGTCGAGGGTCACAAGTGACGTAGACCGCCTTTTGACGTCACTAAGTCGCAACTCCGTGCTTGACAACGCGTGCCTGGAGGTGGAGGAGATTCGGCGGCAACATCTGACTCAGTTACAGCGTGAGACGCAGAGAGGGGCGGACCTAGCTTCTGTCAGGTGAACACGTACCGCCCTACCCTACCCTCGTATTGGGATGTTACTGTTACAGTTGTTGATCTCATTATCCACGAAGATCGTAGGAGCGCTGCATGCCAGAGAGCCTCGTCAGATGCCTCCACTTTTCACAGTTTTTTGCGAGCGCCTAATTTGGGCGAAGGATTATCCTGTCCACACCGCAATGTTGCCTGTCCACCTCTTCCTTAGCCTTTCTCTCCTTTTCCCTTGCTCAGTTCCCCGAAGAATGGTCTTGGATAGGCCACACATATTGGTCTGTGTCCAACAACGTCACCACTTTTAAGCAACTACATCCCCTGATTCTACCGTGAGCCGTATGCTTCAAAGCATGCCAATATGATATTGAGGATGGCTGTTTAGATTGCGTCTCTTGTAGGCTCAACTTCTTTTCCTTTAATCTGTATTTTTTGTGTTGTTAATTTGCTGTTTCTATGCACCAAATGTAATGTCGGTGTGCTATTCCTACTCAAATAATCAAATTTAAATTGTATGGAGGCTCATGTTTACTGCACAAGACTTTAATAATTTATATTTTGAATAGAGGCAGCGTATGAACACAGCCATGCCAAGTTGATAGCCCATTCTTTTGTTTTATAAAAGAGTACAAAGTAAAGTTGTTCCCGCATCCAATCTGGGCATTTGAGATTGCCTTGTTAGTGAGACAACTTCCTGAGCTTTCAGCACATTGTGGTAGGGTGACCAGTTCCTTTCCACCCTGCCTTTATTTCCCCAACTCGAAATCATGTACCCATTACTGCTGGACGGGCAGGAGGGTGAGAAAAATCAGTGTCCAAACCGAGGCTCGGCCCGGACTTTCCGCTTCGGAGACGAGCGCACTAACCACTCCGCCACCGCACCGTATTAGAGAGCAGCAGACGGACATCATAATATTCAAGTCGAAATGAAATTATTATTTTTCCTATTCACATCTAGTGTGATTAATATTCATTTCTTGCAATTCTACAGAAAAAGAGCGCATCAAGGGATCAACAGGCCACAAGGACCAGCTCAGAATATCCAGTTATTGCAGCAGCAGCAACAACAACATCAACTACTACTACAGCAACAACAACAGTTTCTACAGCATCTCCAGCCAAACCCGTTTGGATTTCTGGGTCTAGACGCTCTCAGTAGCCCCCTCCTAACACTGACCACGCCCCCTGGCTTCTCCCAAGCCCCGCCCTTCACGTCACAAGAAGTCCCTCAAGCTTCGCAGCAAAACCATCCTCTTTTCCAGCAACACCACAGCAACCAGCAGCAACAATGTTATCAAGCGTCTGTAGCAGCAGCAGCAGCAGCAGCACACCATCAGCAGCTGCAGCAGCAACAACAGCAAAATCAACAACAACATAACCATCCTTTTCACCACCACCATCATCATCATCATCATCACCACCAACAGCAACAGCAGCAGCAGCACCAACAGCATAATATACAGCAGACGCTGATAGGGCCGAAAACATCAAACACCGTCACCGTTTTGCCCTTAAACAGACTCCTGGAAGTGTCTGGTGGCGGCAGTGGTCAGTCCATGAACGGAAACGGTGACCAGAGACTGGACAATGATCCGGCGGTCATGTCGTATTCCGTGAAGGCTCCGGCATCCGGCCAAACATCTGATGTCAAGTCCAGCTAATGGCATTAGACAACGGCTTTTGTGTGACCCCCTCGACATGTCCATGTGACAACTAATTGTTTGGGTTTTTTTTCTTAATTTTTTACTAGGGTGGGGGGTAATCTATTTCTTTCTTTCTTTCTTTCTTTCTTTCTTTCTTTCTTTCTTTCTTTCTTTCTTTCTTTCTTTCTTTCTTTTATCGGTTTCTTTTATTCATATACTTA